AGAGCGGCCTGCGGCCGCTACGCTGGCCGAGTAATAGATTAAAAGTACACCAAAATTGTATGGCCTAGAATGGCATAGCCTTGTAGGCCTTGCGTGTTAGGCCGCAGGTGGGTGACAGCCATTCACTACCGCTTTCGGCCACTTCCAATTTTTATAGCCTAGTCTATGGCCCAGAATGGCAGAGCCTTGAAGGCCTGGAATGGCTTAGCATCGTAGGTCTCGCGCGTTAGGAGTGACGGCCGCCACAACGTTCGTTCTCTTTCAATGAAAGTATTTGATATCAGATTAGATTAGATGTTCTTGAGGTCCATTTGGGTTACAGCTGGCTTCTACTCGCACACATTGTTGCTGACAGCTAAGCCAAAATGTTCTCGGCAAAAGATGAGATTGCCATTGGGATTCAGAGATCTCCAGTTCATGAAAATAATGCAGTTCGTAAATTAACAACAGCAAAAAAAAAAACGATTCCTTATTACATAGGTAACCTACCCAGCATGCATCGTCTTGCAATTCTGCCTGAATTCAAGAATCCTAGCCCCCCCGGGGAGATTCTCCGAACATTGTTTTCCCAACTCCTCTTCATGGTTTTCCGCCAGACATGTCAATCAGTCACGCGCAATAGGAATGACGTCAGACTTCAGGCCCAAATTCGTTCAAGTGACACTAGCGCTCTGCTCCAGGAAGCGTTGACGTTAGTTCGAGGGCCAACCACCAGGGCACAGACCGCCATTGCGGTTACCCTGCTTTCGCGCAGTGTCCAGTCTTCTTAGTATAAGGTATTTGGGGCAGACGTTCGCTTGGCTGCAGTGCACTTTACAGATCAAGATCACGTGATCACGATCCGGCCTGTAATTGGCTGCACGATTTCGATGGTTTCATCTGTAAGGGGGTATGTAGAAAAGCAACCCGCTCCTCCTGATTGCCGGTCAGATGTGCTACCGCTACACCACCGAACCCGGGACATCCAGTCAGCCCTCTGAATCCCATCCTCATACGTCACAATATACAGGGTGGGCCAAAAGTTTTTGCCCCTGTATAAAAATGCGAATATCTTCTGAACGGTTTGGGCTACAGAGTCCAAAAACAAACTAAAAGAAAGTTCATTTCATGCTCTTTCTGAAAATGTATGGTTTTAGGTTCCTACATTCATTTGGAGATGAGTCATGGCTTGAACGGTTTGGGCTACAGAGTCGAAAAAGAAACTAAAAGAAAGGTCATTTCATGCTCTTTCTGAAAATGTATGGTTTTAGGTTCCTACATTCATTTGGAGATGAGTCATTGCCGTTTGAAAAAAACATACCGAAAAAAAAGTTGCCAAAACGAACCTATACTGTGCCGCCCACTGAAATCATCCTCAGCAGCTGGCTTCAAGGTCGCGAGCGCCGTCGTTTTCTTCCTTCCTAATTGCTCCCTACCTTCTTTCCCTTCTTCATAATGTGAAGGATGAAAATGTGAAGACTTTGATGCTTGATTTGAGCAACCGACCAGCAGCAGATCGTGGCAAAAGTTAAACGACCTCCAGTGGTCCACTCCGCGTGTTTTGCTGAGTGCTGAGTCTTTGTAGTGTTAATTTTTTTAATTTACCCTTTTTTTACTTCTTATTCAGAAACCCTTACAGGGAAAATTGACTTTGATGCTTGATTTGGATAACCGACCAGCAGAAGATCGTGACAAAAGTTAAACGACCTCCGGTGGTCCACTCCGCGCGTTGTGCTGAGTGCTCGTCTTTGCAGAAGAAAAATGTACTTCTGACAAAACATTTTCGATTTGAGAGAATTTATGGAGGAAAAGGCAAACGTGTGTCTCTTCATGAGAACACGGATAAAAGAAAGATACATACTGCTAGCCTGCTCCCTCGGTATACTGACTGATCACTAGGTCTGACGTTGAGACTTAACTGAGATTAAGCAATCCCAAAACAACTAAGTGCCCAGGCTGCTCTTACTCCTCCATAACAACAGTAGGACTTCCCCATGTGTCTCATGTCACGGTGTTGTACTTCGGTCAGGGACTGGATGGTTAGCTCTTCTCTTGTCTTATTTGATCCAACCTGAGTCAACTGGTGTTTGACCAGAAAGAGGGTTGGTAATGCAGGTTTCACCATTGAAGGTATGGCGATCCTTGAAAGAATTGAAATATGTAGAAACTCAGACCGTCAAAACCAGACGGATGGTCCCTACCTGCTAGCCCAACAGGTTCAAGTTTAGCAGAATGCACATCAACACGCGTCCTGCTCTGTTTTTCGGCAGGAAACTTCCACGTGGAGGGTCTGGCTTCCGAATTCCAAGCTGGTGGTTGGTGCATCCTGCGCTAACTCTAGGCTCAAATGAACCTTACTTAATGTTCACGGAACCCAGTCGGTTGGGGCTTGGACAAGGCAGGACCAACTTTCCCTGGATCTTCACCGGGAAGGGACGAAATGAAGCAGACAAGAGGCACACGTCTTTTCACGTTGCACTTTACTGTGCAGTCACTCCCAGTTATGACAAGTGTATTTCTGGGCTTGATTTACTTATACAGAAGATTTGCATAGTTTCATGTTGGACAGGAATCAGTGAGGTTACGATCGGAATCCTCCCCCACCTTAGCAACATTACAAGTTCCCAGCCAATAGGGGTTGGTCATGAGCATGAGGCTCTTCTGATTGGAAGAGCAATCCCGTTCCCAGGGTAGCCCTTTTCAATCGTCGAGCATCGGCTCAAGTGGACACCCATCAATCCTCTCCTCGATACCTACATCCTTGACCCAATCCGCATCCCTTCCCTTCCTGCATCTCCGTGGCTGATCCATGATCCAAGATTCAAGTAGGGATGTCAGGAGGCATCTCTGCCCATTATAATAACCCTGTGAACTCATGTCATCTCTCATAGGGACTACTCCATGGGGGAGGAGGGGGGGGGGGGGGGTTACGGCAGTGCTGAGGTCAACAGGAGGGACAGGAACAAGCCACAACAAGGTCAGTTGCTATGACTTGATACATTCCTGTCTCAGACCCAATCTGCATTCCCCTCTGGTCAGTGGCGTGCCCCGGAAATCCGAATGGGGGTGATAGTCATATGAAACACTGATTGCCCACCCTAATGGGGGGGTTAACATATGAAGAAACTAATAATCCATCCCATATTTGTGTCCAAATAAAATATTTTTGAGAATCGAACCTGTAAAATTGACCCCAAGGTCAATGAGGTTATGACACCACACCCCCCCCCCCCCCCCCTTGGGCACGCCACTGCCTCTGGTAGTGCCCCATGTTTGACCCAGCCAGCTTTGCCTGTAATCCTTCGTTTTTCACATGAAAACCGTACCATGGGGAATGGCAGCTAATCTTGTTCTCTTTTCATTCCTTTCTATCAGTAGCTTTATTCATAAGTTTTACAATTCTTTCACATTCAGAGGGGAAGGATGGAGATGTGGACTCGCTTAAGACCTCTAGGCCAATGGATGGTTCCAGATCCCGGTAGTTGCTTTAACAGTTGTAGCAAAGCGTGTCTTTGCCAATGCCCTCCAGTCGCCGAAGGACCATGAATTCTCCTCAACCATTTATATTTGTTATTGAAATAAATTTATTGTGGAAAGGTCACTGAAGGTGACTGAAAAGGTTATAACTGATGATCCAGCGCTCTTCTTGCCTTGATGATGGAACTGATAAGCTAATTGAAAGTAGGCATGTTTTTGACAATTTTCTTTACCTTGGAAAGTTATCTATCTTGTCAATTATTTCATACCTCATTCCAAGTCCACGAAAGATACTTTTCCACTCCTTTCCTGAAAAATCATTTGTCTTCGCTTCTAAAAAAAAGTATTGACCATTGAAAGTTTTTTTAAATTTATTATATTGTTCCTGAGCATCATTCAATGGGATTTGATGTGACTGTTAAGTGTCAGGAAAACTGTTAAAAGATGGAAAAAAGGATGTTAACTGATAGAAGTGATACATTCCATGATGTCACTGTAAAGTGTGAAAGCTAACTTTGCTTGATCATTAGTGTCACAGGGCTCTTATGCTTCCTCAATCTCCCATCATCCTTTGTTTAAGGTAGAATAGCAGATGCAGCTATCTGTTCATGTTAGAGCATTGTCTTATTTCAGATCTTGCATTGATACTGTTCATGATCCTGTTTTATCCAAAGCAGAATCTTCTTCAGTTCTGATAGGTACTCATTTGGTTTATAAATAGGTGAAGTAAACCCCAATAGGAGAGGCCTTTTCTGTTTTCTGCAAATATTTCAGTCTTGCAATCACAAATGAAACAGTTCACCTGAATAATTTTTCGGTGGCTGAATCTGTCCTTACTCTTGCTCTGATAAATACTTGTACATAGTCATCAAGTCAAATGTATAACTTTTTCAGTTCATCATGCAAGTGAGAGTGACACGCACCTATTCTAGGTGGTCTCCCTGGCATAAGGGTGCAATGAGAAACATCATGATGAGGTATCAAAGAAGGAAAATTTGGGGGGGGCAAAATTCCCAGGAGTGAGAGAGAAAAGCCATCCATAGGATCTTCAAAGGGTTCATGGAAGGCATGAGAAATCAGAAGGAAACTCTTCCTTCATGCATTGTGGCTCATATGGATTCTCAAAGAAGCCACACTTTTTGTGGACTGATTTTTAGTCTATTTTTGATGTTATGCCAGACAGGTCAAATCATTGATCATGTGATTGTGAATCTGAATCCATCATTTTAAGAGAAAGTAGATAAATGGTCATTTTCGTATAAAGCAAAAAGACCTTTTTCAATATCAGGGCCATGCCATCAAACATGGCTAATATATATTTATTAATGAGTCTGAGTCATCAAACAGAATACCTCATTCTTTTAATTCCTTTCATTGAACTTGAGAAGCCAATAATCCTTTGCATATGGTAGCATGAAGCAACCATCCACAGTACATAAATTAGATACCAATACTTGAAAAAAAGGAGAAGAGAGAACACACAAAACTCTGGCCAACAACAATAATGCAAAACTTCCAGTAGACCACATTCAAAAGAATCTGCCTCATTGTGGCTGACCTTGGGAATGCTGAGGAATCCCAGGTCCAGTAAAAGGGGGTCCCATTGCCTGAGACACTGAAATATTTCCACCTCCTCCAGAACTCCCATCACTCATGGGCAGCACAAGATTATTCACCAGTTCTCTGATTGATGGAAAGAGGCTACATTCCCCATGTTGAAGACCTCCATAGTCACTGAAACGCTTTAATGAAGAATTGATGATTGCAGATGTGGAACTAGTGGTATCTCTTCGATCTGCCATATTTGTGGTGTTCCCTGCAATATCATAGATGACTGGAATCACAACAGTTTGAGGTTCTTGGTTAGGAGGGAGTTGAATGCCCAGGCGAGTAAGTTGGATGTAGAATAACATCTTGTTCCTGGTGAGTATGGTGGCTGTCATTCCAGCTGGGGCAATGGGAGGAGCAGATGGAGGAGTTGTTAAACACCATTCGAGGGACCATTTGGCTCCAGGTGCTATGGGACTGAGTTCCAACCTAATCACCTGTACGCAATCTTTGAGAATGGTGAGAGGAGCAGCAAGTATGTTGCAGAAGGCCTGAACAGCATTTGGATGAGATAAGTGACATCTCGAACCTATCTTGAGATTGAAGAATTCCTCAATGGCCTGAAGATCTTCTGCCATCCATGTATCCATGTGTTCTGGAGTAGGAGAAACTTTCAAGATCAGCTGACTCAACATTTGATCTCTGTGCTCCAAGGACAGACGACATTGAAGTGTTTCTACTTTGAAAAGCAAAATTCCAGGGTCTGCTGGTAACAGAACTGTGAATGCATCCTTCTCACATTGAAGAACCCTTCGGAAGTGATTTTTGAGCATAGTAGCAGCCAGGAATGATGTCACTGGAGCACAAGGACTGGTTTGAGGAGTCAGTTTGTCTTTTCTCTCATGGCCTCCTTCAACAATTGAACATGGGGTACATAGTGCATCAAAAGCTTCATGACTCAGAAGTGTTGGGACAGCACCTGCCCAAGATCTTTGAGGAAGCATTCTAGAAATGTGTGTTCCACAGGACTGGGGACTGGAAGTGTTCACTGATGGGATGAGAGATCCCCCAGGACTTTGCCCAGGCCGAGCTGGTGAAGGCCTTGGCATGGATGGGGAAGCTGGCCAATGGGGTGGAGCACTTGCTGGGGATGCCTGAGGTCCAAGGAGACTGGATGCAGGGGATTGACTCACAGGTGCATGAGGTGAAGGAGATGGGTGGAGGAAGGAAGAAGGAGAAGGAGCATGTGGAAATGGCGATGGGGATGATGAAGGATTTAAGAGAGAAGAAGGAGATGGATGAGGAAGCATGGAAGGAGAAGGATTTACTGTTTGAGGTCCCAAAGATGGAGGAGAAGCAAGAGAAAATGATGTGGCTGGGCTGGAATGATGCTGGCTTGATTGAGATAGGGTACCAGTGTGGGGGCTTGCTGGGGTGTGAGGGTTTGATCCAACTGTTGCTCCCGAGCTTTGAGAACCAAAGCGAAGCCCACTGCCTGCAGTGTCCTTCACAGCTGGAGATCCTGGCTTTGGTGGATGTGATAGGAAATCTGCACTTACACCTCCTCCTTGAGCAGAGCTTGCTACTGCATCTGAAGCTGAAATTGGTGAAGGAGGATTATCATCCTCTGACTGTGCATGGTGATGCAATAAGGCACTTTCATCCACATATTTGCTGAGGAATGTCTTCAATCCAGGAGCTGGAGAGAGCTCTTCAACAAGTCTGCTTCTGTTAAAGCGGCTATGGGCTCCATCCCGCACAGCTACCAGACCTTCTCCTCTGAACAGGACATCCAAGCAATGCATACCACAGTACACAATGCGAATGTGGAATGGGGTCTGAGGAATGATTGCAAACATAGGGATAGGTACTTGGGGCCTGGAATGCAAGATTCCCAGCTGAGGCACAGTTGGAAGCTTGGAGACAGAACTGAGAGGAGTATAGGTTTCATGAAGAATGTGACAGACAGCAGCAAGGTTTCTGTCCCGGTTGAAATAGCTCTGAAGTTCTGATGCCACTATAATGTGTGGATTACTTGTCCCACAGGCTCCTGATGTCCCAAAATGGAGCTGGAATTGTTTCTCATGAGGGTGCCAAAAAACAGACAGCAAGCACCCAAATTGTGGACCATATGCGATGGTGAGCTTCCGATAGGAATAAGACTTCACTGAGATGATGTCACCAGTGCTGTAATTTTCTGTTTGAAGATACCTGGCAAGATTAAAGACTACTTCATACAGATGTGCAACTTGAGACCAATCAGAAATGAGAAGATCCACAGTGTGATACATCTGCTCTATTGGGAGAACATCATACTGGAAGTAAATGATCCTGGTTGGGGTTTTCTCTCGACTACAAGTGGTAGCAATGGGAGGATCCACAAATAGGCATTCTGCCACCCATGTCCTAACATTCCTGCACTGCATTCTGATTCTCATTGATATGAGGCTCTTTTCTAGCTGAGCATGTGTATCTGAAGAGACTCCTGGAATTCTGGGCAGTTGCATAATGGGCAGCCAAAGGCAGTAACCTTTTCCTTCAACTTGAATACCCTGATGTGTCAGTCCTTTCTTAGTTAGTTCATGTGCCAAGGAGGAGAATGCAAGACGTTCATCACATAATGCCACTACATGGGCTATCTGTGGGATGAAGTATGCTCCATGTTTGGATCTCTTTGCTAGTGGCATGTCATGGCGAGATCCTGTCAAGTGAGGTCTTTTTCGAGCACTGGAAAGAACCCTTTCATGGATATCACCAACATCCACACGAGTACAAGGCCCATGAATCGTAATGAAGGAGTCTAGTTCAACCATGGATAATACTCTAAGATACATCTTTGGCAATTCCGTCTCAACAGTATCATCTTTGGGATCATCTTCAATAGAACAAGGCTTTACAAAAACAAGGAAATACTTGTAGCTCATCTCACAGGGACAAGATTCCTTTCCTTCAACTTCAACAACCAAAATGCATGAGGGATACTTGTGGAGAGTGATAAAGACCTTATGCCTGCCAAGTTTATGCATCCTATGGTTCTGACTATAAAGCAGAGGTAGCTTCTCATGAACAGATGCAGGAACATGTTCCAATGTTTTCTGAATCCTGCACATAACAATTGAAAACCTCAGCTCTGACAAGAGGAAGTCCAATCGTGTTCTATCCCCATTGAGGCACTGTTGTATTTCACTTGTCAATGGATTTTCAAACTGAGGGACATGAACAAGAAGGACTCCACCATGAGTATCAACACTAATTAACAGATGCTCTGATCTCAAACAAGGATTCAGAACAGGTACACTGAGTACAGCAGGGAGCCCATGCAAGAGGCAGTCAACTTCAGGGCCAACCCTTGCTTGAAACTCTTGCTTCAGCTCAGAAAGACGGAGTTTACTTCTCACATGGATGGTGTGAACTAGCAATCTTTCTATGGATAGGTCATCACTATGTATGGTTCGATCAGCAATTTCTGCTTCTTGACAGGTAAGTGCAGGAATATGCACAACAACAAGAGGCCTTGCACAGTCATTAGGATCAGCTTGCACTGTAAGTTTGTACCCTTGCTTCAATTGGGAAGAACTATATTTTGTAGCCAATTCCTTCCAGTAAGAAATGGTCAAGCACTTTCCAGTCACATACTCATCAATTGTGATGAAGTCCCCCAACCGCTCCTGACAGAGGCGCTGAGCTTGAGTGTGTAAAACTTCCAACTGAAGAGATTGACAGAAGGCATGCATGCACATATATAGTTCCACAAGTGGTCTGGGGTGATTGATGAGTCGTGCCTGCAGCACTTGATGAATGTACTGAATCTGTAAAGAATGAACTAAAGCTTTCCCATCTCCTGTCTCCTTGTCTTCAACCATGATTTCAATATCCAGCAAGGTCCAAGGGATATCAGGTCCATCTCCCATTAGTGTGAGGGATACTTCAAATTCATGTTCAACCACAAGTCTCACCCGACCATTCTCAATTTTTGCATCTCTCATCTGGGCAGGCAATTCTGTGGTTACCAAACGATGCTGAATGATCTGATTTAATTGGTGGAGAGTTTGTCTCTTCTCCTCTGGTGTGATTGGATCTTGAGGGATGATTCTATCTCGAATGCAAGTAGGGAGCCTGAGATATGTTCCCAGTGTGAGTACTTCCACTGCAGCAGGAATGTGGAAATTTGGAAGTCGTGCTTGGGACAAAGTCTCCTTGGACATACGATGCAGAATATCTGCAGTTTCAATGAATAGCAAGGACTGCTTGTCCAGGAAGGCTGTGATTGCAGCACATCTTTCCACTTTTGATACACTGGCAGCCCACTTCACAAGGGCAAGAAGACGAACAAACAGCTTTCGTGTACGAGTGGCGAACTGGACAATCTCAACTTTTCTTTCCATATCTGTTTTTCGAGGCAACAGATCTGCCAGAATTGCAAGTTCATGATAAGTTCTTTGAATGATAAATTCCATAAGGAGGGAGAGTGGAACAGAACCCTGCCCTGGAGTTTGTGCTATCATGCCAGGCCCAGGAGTTTCGTGCCCCTCCAAGGGTAAAGGAAATGGAGGCATTGTGACTTCAGTATACTGAATGGACTTACTTCATCTTTTTCGATAGACAAACCTGCCAAAGAACCACAAATTGAAGATGTATACCAATAATGCCAAGTACATAAATCAGTACATGCAAATAGCATAGTAACACTAACAAATATATCATTTGCCAAACCATGAATGCGAATATCACACCCAAAAGCAGTAAAGCATGCATACTTTCAAGGTACAAGCATGCTAGGTTTGCCAAATATCATCCAATTCACCATGAGCCCAAATAGATACCAATGAGCTTGAGCATGATAACAGTGACAATGATAAAGTAGAAGATAAATAGGTCACAGACCTATTTTGTCACTGCAGAAATAAAGTCATCCCATCCTCCTGGGATGCTATTAAATTTATACTTGAATTATTCATATACTTGAATGCAATATATAATGCATTTTAGTTTCTGAGAATGGAAAATTATGAGCATATTTAAAGAAAAGGGAAACATTTGCAAATTGTGGAATATTGCAAATTATGCATGCTTAGGGTATATAGGATGACATGAGAGAATACATGCATACATGTAACCCTTAAGCCTGTAAATGATCCATTTTCACACCAAATTATAAGAAAAGGTGTTGTGTAGTAAGAGGATGGAAGTAACATATGAAGGGCATGGAAGAGAGAGGAGGATAATACACAGTGGCCTAAGACAATAAATTTGTGGCCACTTCTAACAATCTTGTATCATTATATGATTCCATGGATTCCATGGAAGTTAAGTGTTGCATAGTCTTGTTTATTGTTCTAGTTTTTCCAAAAACTTCCTGAAATTTGACAAGAGAATCTGCTCACCATTAAGTCCACTGGAACTCTCTCTTGCAAAGACCTTGCCTTACAGTGAGAAAAATGTTATGTTCAGAGTTCTGCAGTATTGGGCATCACAAAATACAATTTGGAAAAGCACATTTTCCTGACAATCTCAAGGGGGTATGCAGATGGGGAACCAGGCAAGCCATGCCTGTTAGTTTGGTCAGTGCTTCCGAATATGCCATATTGGCATGATTGGCATCTGCCAATCATGTTTTGAAGCACTACTGTGTTGGTAATTAGGAAAATGACTTTTTGCCACATATGCAAAGGCAGTTTCCAAACATCATAGAACATTACTTTCAGTCAGTAGCAACCAAAGTTTTTTTTAAAGAAAACCAATCTCTGAATTAACTACTAATATGTTACTTCTTCCACTTAAGGTAGAGCCATAATAAACAATTCCATATTAAAGGGGAGGAAAATCTATATAGAAATACCATAACATGCACCCTGTATATTGAGTAACATGTGAGAATACTAACTTAGTGTGCCAGAAGAGTATTTTGGCAAACTACCCAAGTAAAAATGAAAAGCCTATAAGATTTAAAGGATTGTTTGTGACCACCACTAAAAGAACCCACTAGGATCGACTAAGGTCTGCATTGGATTATATTCCCACTAGAACTACATTGGAGAAGAGTAATGTAGTGGACCAAACCTCCTATAACTAAAAAATGTTCAAAGGCCTAGGGCTATAATTTTTACAGGCTTAAGGAATGTGAATAAGCAGGAGATTCCTTTTCCTCAAGATTATATATTTAATCTTAGGGTGTAAAATTCATGTAAAATAGCATAAAGGCAGGACACTGGCAAATCAGAAGACATTTGACAGCATTAGGGATATTCTGAACCTTGTGGTTCTTATATATAACATAGTTTTGGAAGTACCACATGATTTGTGTATTCCTGTACAAATGTCAATGTAACAGAAATATACAATCACAAATAACGATGCAACATTTGTTTCAAATGGTGGCTATTGTTCTCTGTGATGTTTGACTGTTACCAACTAAAGATATGTTAATCATGCAACCTTCTGACTATATGTTACATAAGCAAGTTATTCCCCAGTTTAGAACCCCAATTCAGGTGCACCCTGTTTAGCAACTAAGGCACTATTTTCAGTTTCGACTTGTCAAATGCTATTCGTCACTTAAGAGTGGGAAAAAACGTATGTCACGGCTACACAAAACTACTATAAAATTCATGCTTCTCAACATTCATCTAGGCTATTGGGCTAGTTGATAACGGCCAAGGAACATATGAACAGAATCTTTCCCTAGGCGAATAAGCTTATTTTTGCCAGGCAGATCTATTCCCAGATTGGATATGGACTACGTCGAATAAAACTGGATGTACCGTCAGCCAAGGCATCACTCTAATATCAAATATTTAGCCTCTGCAAATGACAGGGTAGGGTACCTGTGCATTGTAATGACAGGCTTATCGCTTATGCTAGGCCTAGTCTATATATGTGAGTGAGACGCGAGCTGGAAGAAGCATGTAGCTTATGTACAGGACTCTAGGCATTCTCGGACGTGCGGACGGAGCCAAACTAGTAGCCGGCTTCTGATTGGTGGAGAAGATGGCTGCCTCCATGGCTCGCTTTCTTGATGGACAAACCACGTTCTCATTCCTTCGTGTCCATAACATCTGAAATCCATATATAACCTATATAACCTAATATATAACCTAACCTAACCTTAGGTTATATAACATATATAACCTAAACTTTCGTATTTCACGTATAATTATGTAGGTATAAATAGGACATTTAAGTTATAAGTGGGGATATAATGTATACTATCACCATGCCAAAAATAGGCGGATCCTGCGATATTTCTCCGTTAACCCTAATAAACCCTAATGTCTATTATACGAGGTCTGACAATAAAGTAACCAGACTGATAATGTAAAAAAAAAAAATATTTAGCACTAACCTTTCATGGATCTGGTCACCTTCAAAGTGCTCTCCTTTTGACTTTATACACACATCTCAACGTCTTGGCCATGCCTGGAAACATTGCTGGAAAGCATTTTTTGAAAGTCCTTTCAATACTGCCGTCACATTGCTCTGAATGTCTTCAATTGATTAAAAATGAGATCCTTTCAAGGAGTTTTTCAGTTTTGGGAACATGAAAAAGTCGCATGGGGCAAGATCTGGGGAGTACGGGGGATGTTCCAACATTAATAGTTGTTTCTTCTTTTTTTGCCAAAAATTGCCATACCGAAAGAGCAATGTGGGAAGGCGCATTGAAGGTAGAATGCTTGATTGACTGTTTGTAGCGGAGGAACAAATTCGTAATTGACAATTCCTTTGATATCGAAAAAATCATGTTTGACAATGTATTACACGTAACTAGTAAATTTATGAAAACATTGATCTTTAGTTTGAATATAAGCTCGTCGTATAGTAGCAATAACGTCTGGCAGGCATTTTGACAGCATGTATTCGTAATTTTTCTAGGATCAACCTACCATGATCAGAGGTACTCCTCTCGGATACCAGTATGCACGCAATCATTAATAGTGCCAGCAGTGTGTGCAGCGATCACAAAGATCCTCAAACCACTTTTTTTTTTAAAGGTAACTGTACAGAAGAACATAGATAAGTCAAATTAGATTTATTTCAGCCTCAGTTTTAGTCAGTTTCTATATACAGGGTGGCCCAAAAGTAGGTATACAGTTGTTTAGTTTTTTTTTAATTTATTTTCTTTTTCTTTACATATATTGTGAATGATGGCAGCGAACTTGAGTCAAGAACAAAGAAAGTGGATTCTAAAGCAGTACTGGAAGACTGAAAATGCCGAGCGGGTGATAGTTAACCTAGCAATGTAATAAAATGCAAATAAACTATACTGTATACGTACTTTTGGGCCACCCTGTAGTATTGCAATATTCTGTCAGGAGAGATCAACTTAGTTCCCGTGGCTATTGTCATTGAGGCTGCACGATCATGATTGAAGAGGGCTGGGAGTAGGAGAATATTGTGGCAGTTGCAGATGATGATGACCTTGTTGATTTGGAAATTCATAGGCATGATTTTGCCGCTGAGCTGCCGCCAATGGAAGTGGTACTTACAGAATCTCACATTTTGCCTGAAACATCAACAAGCAAAAATTTGGGAAAAGGAAAAATAAATCAAGGCCATCGCTTTCAGAATATTCTCAAAATACCCGGCATAATTTATAAGGAAATGGAAACAAAAGTCTGAATGAAGAAACTGCAAGGGAACGCGCGGAAGGAAGAGGGGATTTGGGTAAGGATCATATGTGGCAGGGTAGAAGATAACGGGGAGGATGGAGAGCGAAAGGCAGAGCCATTCTGACGGGGCTGCCAGCGGTGCGCCCGCATAGGGCGCAGATTGTCTGCCAAATCACTATACAATATGAATACAATATGAATAAAACTTATAAAAATAACTTGAAAACTTGAAATAACTTGATCCTGAATTAAAAAAAAAAATTAAACATAGGAATTAACACAATGTATTGTTGGTATTGGGGAAGCTGGAGAGGTATAGAGGGGGAGGGGGGAAGCGCTGGATTGATATCTCGCATAGGACACCAAATATCCTCGGTATGGCGCTGGATACTGTTATCATGCATTTCTGGGTCTTTTTTTTTTTTTTACTTCTTTTCGTAAAAGGGGGGGGGCACGTGCCCCCCCTACGCTACGCCACTGGTTCCCAGGCTGAGTGGCCATAGCGGACCACTCTCTCCTTCACGCCCCCGTCCTGCCCTATGTGCAGTTCGTCTTGAACCTTTAGCCGGACAACACGTGGGTGCGGGCAGTATGCTGGGAACCTTCGGACAGGTAACTCGTGGACGCGCCGAGCGCGTCCCAATCCCCTTGGCCCGTCAACTCAGTGACCATAGTGTGTGTCGCGTGCCGCGAGGTCCCCCTACGAGCAGGAGGCTGCATCTCCCCTGTATTTCTTCTTCCATTTTTTCCCCTATTGATTATCCAATAAATTCTGCACAGTTGTTAACGTTGATCTAAAGACGTATCTTCCTTCCTACTTGGAGTCAGCAGAGCAAAGAGAGAGACGCTTCTACCTTGCTAAATTACCATTTAAAGAGCACGCAACCTTCCTGATTAACAACTGACCACATTGGGTCTGATCCGCCATATGTAGCGAGCATTCGTGCCAC